ACTATCTTCTGTCTTTTAAACCTAAGTATGATAGAAGTTTTCCCTCCCAAACCTCAAGAATCTTAAACTTCTGGCACATCTGGGTTTCATAATTATTTGTCCATGAATACATATTACTATACCTATAGTATAGGTATAGATACTTGAAGTTATAATGCCTTATTATTCAAGCAACAAAGAAGCTAAAAACTAACTGATATGACACAGTTTTCCTGGATACTGCAAGTTCCACTTAATCCACCAAATTATTTTCTTAATTCTTATCAATGAGCTGCAGTTCTCTCAACTGGAAAGCAGAAATAAGAATCCATTAGTAAAAATTAGTAGAGTAGCATACACGGGTGCCACAAATGTATCATAGACCATATATAACTAGCAAACCCAGTGTTTTAACTGGCATAACTCACATTCATAGTTTCCAAGTCTCTTCAACTGAGGCTTCTCCTTCTTGAGAAGTGCCTTTGTGGTCATTGTAATTTAATTTCTAAAGGAGCAACAGCACATGACCTAGAATTCGTCATGTTAACAATAGAAGAAATTAAATCCTTTTATAACAATGCATGGAGATCATAACCCTGATATTTAAGGATAATTTCTCTGTTAATCTGCAGAATAAAATTCTTAGCAGAGTGCAGCAGCATGCAGCAGAGGCTAATTGGTGGAATTATGTTGCCATGGGTACAAAACACCTACTCAGGCAAACAGATGTGGTACATTTACTATGAAAGTAGTACGGCAATGCCCATGAGATAAATACCATCAACCTGCCCTTTATTGTCAGTTCTAGCACAGAGTGTTTGATGTGTATCTCAGCTGTTTACTTACAAAATGGATTGAAGAACAAATACTACCTCCAGGGGTAAGGACAACAGGCTATAGGTCAAGTTGTACAGGAATTGTCCACTGTTGCATTACATCCTCAAAACGGTACCCATGTTCTTTCAATCCAGTACAGCCAGTAACCCGCTGGTAGGCCACACAGTATTTAAATCACTTTGACTGCAAATATGTGAAAGGGAGGCACTTAAAGTGGATTGCAGTTAGAGAAATTGTCCTTGGCCCACAGAAGGTAGTTTCTGCGTTTCTTCGTGCACACCAAATTAATTTATTTAATCTCTTTATAAACCAGCTAATTCATTTCACTGGAGGAGTTCTTTTCCACTACTAGTCAAGAGTTGTCCTTTCATCCAAGATCTCTATTAACCAAACAAAAGGACGAAGTGACCAACCTATGACAATGCAGGAAATGGCATATGACAATTACCTTCAATTCAGCATTACTTCCTTTTGGTCTTATTATCACCTTTCTTTGCCCTTCTCATTTTTGTATAGCATGTTTATTACTCTGCAAGGAGTCACTGGATTTTATTGAGTACCACCTGTTATTTAATGAATCTTTAATCTAGGCTTATTGCAGGAAGACAGTTTCAGGAAAAATGTATTTGTTATCTCATCAGGGTTCTCCATGTACCCCATGGAACCAGCTGACAGTCATGAGGCACCAGCAGTCAGAACTCATAGCAAGCCCCTTCAGTTCCAGAAAGAGAGTTACTCTTTTTTTGTTAAGAGTACTTTTCTCCAAGAAGAATAAAACAAAGGCATTTTGCAGACAATACTACTTATCTCCCAGGAGAAATTTGCTTTACTACATCTCTGCAATCATCATTAAACAGGAGAACCTTCAACCCAACCAGCCAGTACACAGCAATAGGCATTCCTTGCTCAACACAGAACTATTATGTGTGGTGCTCTTTTCTCATTCCATCCAGTCCTCTTTCATATCTCTTCAGCAGCTGAGGAGTTAAGTTTTCTGCTCAAAAATTCAGCCGTACTTTATTTGTTCTGTTGTACCATTTTATTACCTTCAATGTGCTTGAAACACTGACTGCAGAATTCCCCTAGTGTGAAGACATACACAGGCTTTATATGTGCTGAGCTTCCACCCTACTCTTCCTCTGGGGACTAACACTCTCTAACTTTCTTCACAGTCACTAATACTAGGCCATCACTCTATGTTTACTTTGTGGTTTCAATCCCATTGATTTTTCCCATCTTTCTTCATTGATGAAAACAATTACATAAATTACTCTTATTGGTGATCTGTTTTTTAGCCTACACTGCACTGTACACTTGATTTCATGAAAATACTCTTTCAGACTGGTTATGATTCAACTTCATGCATGAAATACTGTTTTACTGAGTGATTTCTCTGCACCATACACTTACAGGTACCTAGTTAGCTATTATAGCTTAGAGTCCCTGAAAGTTCACAAACTTTAATTGCATCATAGAATTTTTAAAAGAATGATCAAGTCCCAGATTTGATTTCAAGAAATCCCTTCTGACTAGGTCTCCTGGCTTTGAGCCCTTCACCATTACATCTGGAAGAGGCTTTGGTCAAATCCAGACCAAAGCCAGTGACATCAAATTGAAAGAAATGTTGGAGCAGAAATTGAAACAAAACATGAGTGTAAGCCAAAAATCACAACTCTGAAAAGCTTTACATTGCTGCTAAGCATGAATGTAAGCAACCTCCACAGTGTCAGTTTTAAGGTTTTATATAGAACTTTGCTTCTGAGCAGGCTCCATCTTGGCAGAGGTGGAGACAATCCCAAGCAGAGCTGAACTGGCCATCCTTTGCCTATCTCATTGCAGAACAGTCAATTTTATAATCAACTGCGTGTCATCAACCCATTTGGGCTTTGCTCAGTCAGCTTTTATCAGGATCCTTTTCTAAAAGAGAGTTTATCTTCCTCAGTAATCACTTGGAGAACGCCCTAGGTTTAAGTCAGCCTTTGAGTGCAGACATCTTATTTTCTTCAAGGTGTAGCTCCCTATACACACATACATCACCCTATACACACAGGTTCACAGGCTCAGAAAAGAAAATGCAACTGAGGTCACCCATTTGAAGGGAAAAAGACAGTGTTAGCAATGTGTGTTTTTAACACCTTACTCTGTGCAACTACCACTTTCCAAATCACAGTTTTCCAGCTCCAACAACTGGAATTCTCACCTGGTCAGTCCCTTGATTTTACTGATCAATTTCACTGATATTGTTCCACAGCTTTGCATCTGAGATCAGCACTTCAAGGTCAGAGAAAATAGTTTCAACCCACATCAGCAGCTTGCATTTTAAATCCTCAAGCAAACACAGGACCAAGGAGCTGCATTGTGAATGATGTGTTTGAGGCAGATGATCTCCATGTGCATTAGCATTCCATCTCAGCCATAAGACATCATATTTCCATAGTTTTTCCAGAGCTTCCAGAAGTATTCAATCCATGTGTTTCAACTATAACTCTCCCAATACATCCAACAATAAGTAGTGCGTTAAAAATCTGTTCATCCTGACTCCACTCTTTGCTCCTGCCTTTTTTGCTGAGCTCTAAAATACCCAATTTAATAATATTTTTCTTTATCAATACAAGTCAATTCCTATACTTTCTTTTCTCTTGTGCAGGTATCAGCATTTCAGTAGCAAAACAGCTTTTTTGTTGACTGTTTAATGAACCTGATTCTTTTGACGTAACAAATTATAGCCATAGTTAGTACTGACTTCTGGTAATCATAGGAAAATCCTAACTGGAATTATTCAATGTCTCTGCTCAGCAGTTCCCAGAACAAATGTGGACAGAACGCAACACATTACTAGATCACAAGATGGGTAAAGGCAAAAAAAGGTTTGCTGGGCTTCACGTGCTCCACCAAGAACAATCTTAGAAAAGAAGCTAGAAGCTACAAGAATTGAGACACACATTTTATGGAGAACAAATATTTTCACTTCAATGTATTTGGTTTCCAAAAGTGAACTTGCAATGAAAAATAACAAACCCACTTAATATTAAGATCAGTATAAAACGCCCTAATATGCATGTTAAAATTCCTGCTTTGCTTTGACAGCACATTCATATACTGGAGGAAAATACTGGACCTGTGGGATATCGGAGAATAACAAAAACAGCTTTGCTCAAGGGTACAGACTTCTTCATGCTGATGTGGTCTCAAACACACTATGCTGCACAGATCTTGTCCCACTTAGCGTGGCTGTGGCTGATGTATAAGAGGTCTATATGTGAACATTTTTACATGGGATCCTTATATTCAATATTAAGGCAAATTTCTACCTAAAGTACTTATGTGTCTTCTAAACTATATTCTAAGCCAACGGTTACACATTAGCAAACACACAATTCTCTTTCTGTAGGTCTTACCCAAATTCCGAGCAACACAACAGCTGCTGAAAGGTGAAGATAGAGAATGAGTTGGTCTGGAATTTAATGGGCTTCAAATAAATGCATGCATTTGGGTTTTTTGTTCCTGCTCAAAAATCTATTTCTCCAATTTGTCTGCAAGGATTAAGGCATTAGAAACTCCTACACCTCCAGTATAGTCTTGGGGAACAACAAAGTCTGACAGCACAAGAAAAAGGTATTATGTGCACAAGTCACTAATTTGATTGTGAAAGCTTTTAACACTTGAACTTTTTAACTTTGTTTTTAAAGCATGTGTTTTAGTCCTTTAAGCACATTCTAAACCTTAAAATTAGTTTTTGCTAGTTTAAAGTTTTAAATGTATCACTAATTAGTGATAACCTAACACCTCTCAACCTGTTTACAAGTCTTAGCTCTATTTCTCACAAAACATTCTGCCTTTCCTCTCAATTTTTACAAACATAATAAATGTCAAGCATTCTTCATTGTTTTAGTTTTTAATAAACTATTCCTTACTTTTCAATTCCTTATCTCATTTTTCCTTTCTACACTACACACATACACAATAAAAATACAAAGAACAGTTTTCTACTTAGAGCCACAACTACATTTAGAGATGGTTAAACTGACTGTTACACACCCACCTTCAAATAATCCTGGCTCACCTTTAGGAATGAGATCTTATTTTAAGAACAAGGTATACACAGTATCAGAACCATCCCTGATACTGATTGCATTTCCCAGTGAAATTATGCAGCACGAAATCCCAAAAGAAATTCAATGAAATACCTTTAGCAAAATGTAGAAACTTTAATTTACATGCAAAACTACACCATATTCATAATAAAAAACTGGTGACTAAACAAATTAAACACAATTTGTAGAAACTGTCCACATTGCTAAATAGGTCTGTACAACCAAAGATTTACAAAGTCCCTGTGTATTTTCATCTTTTCAGTGCACAACTGAGTTTAAAGGTTCTGCTCGAATATTCCCCAAGTCAAGAGCTGAATCTGTCTCTTCATCAATTTCACCAATTACAGCACTGCAATAAAAAAAAGATCATGTTATTATTTGTTGAAATCAAATCACAGTTCTAAAACAGAAGCTATATTTTATCTTCTAGCAACCCTTACTTGCTGTTGAACTATACCAACTTCTGATTGATGCTGTTTATTCCATGAAAGTTTCTAGTGATGCACACTGGAATGCTCAAAGTACTTTGTACCATGACTGTTTCTTTCCTTTGATTTTTCAATAGCTTGCCTATTTCATGAGAGTCCCCTATTTTAAAGTTACTGTTACTTAGCTGTTGATTCTTTTTACTTCTTCCCACAAGACTGCTGAATTTCAGCATGTTGAAGAGTTGCATGAATATTACTAGTAATAAATATGTTTGAGCTTGTAAAGATTGCAAAAAAAATATATTTCATGGAGCATATTTTGAATATATTTGAGTAATGCAGCTGTATGATGATGTCTTTCATCATACATTTCAACTGTATAATGAAACAGTGAAGTAGTAAACCATTATTTGCTGTCTTATACACATTTTACTATTTGAATGAAAAGCTACTGGTAGAGTGGCAGACATAGTCCCACCATTGTACATGTGTCAAATTACTTTTAAGAAAAAGTTTAAGTCGAAAGTGATGCAAATATTCACAATGATCCACTTTCTCAATGCACCTAGATAGATATCAGTTTAAGCCTTGGCATTTTGTTGTACAGAAGTATCCATTAGAATTAGAAGATGAAAATTCCTATCCAGGCTCATGTATTGGTCACTGCAACATACTCTTTTTCCAGCTGTGATAAAAAAATAATCTTGCTTTTGCCATCAATTTCAGAATGCTGCTGCAAAGGTAATCTTCCTAGCTGGCCCACTTACCAGGCCTTCTTTCCAGTTCTCTTGTAACCCTCCCATTGGTTTGGCACACCAGCCACTTTTCTCTGCACTCAATGAGCTTTCACCCTCATTTTGTAAGGGAATTTTGCATCAAATACCAATTCATACATTTGACATGTCCATCCTACATTGGCTTCAACACTTGCTATGCTGTCAAATCAGAATCTTCAAGGATTTTCCAGACTATAAAGTATTCTCTGTGAACATCTGCTCTAAAGCAAAAAAAAACCCAAAAAACCTATTGTATACCAGATGGCTGACTTTTTGCACTCAAGTTGTATCTCATTTTTAGTGATTATTCTATCCTTTCCTTCATCATCTCTCAGCCTGTCCTTCCTTGTAGGAGAGATGCTCCAGCCCTCGGATCATCTTCAATCTCACCGAACATTACAATGCCATCACTTCTGTAAGAGAAGCGTGGATGTTTGCTATTTAATACAGAATCACAGTCATTTGTTTGGAAAGACCTGCAAGATTAAGTCCAAACATTAACCTAACACTGCCAAGTCCACCACTAAACCATGTCCCTAAGTGTCACTTCTACCCATCTTTTTAATACCGTCAGGGATGGTGACTCAGCTTTGACAATACTTTCAGTGTTACCCACAAAGGTGCAGGATGTCTGGGGCTATCAAGATTTATGCAGATTATGGATATATAAACAGAGACACACACAAACCCATGTGCATACACACGGAGTTTGGATGAGAAGATTTAAACAAGAGCATGCTATACTTACACATTATCACCTCTTACAATGTATAAACCCAGTACTACTTGCTCAACCCCTTGTGAAGAACTGAACACTCGTTCATGGCTTTCATCCAGAATCAAGTTTATGGTCTGATCAAAACCTTTGAGTGTTCCCTGAAAAAAAAAACACACAAAAAAAAAGCACACTCCCATTGCCCTTAAAATTTGCTCTCTTTGCTGTCAAGGATATCTTAAATAGAGTGGTCAAATAAAGGTACTAGAGAACAGATGTTCTATTCAGATTTTATTCTTTGGCTTAAAAACAAACAGCTAAAGAAGGAAATTTTAAAGGCAATAACCAATTTAAGAAAAGCACACACATATTACTGTGTGTTCATGCTAAAAGACACAGTAAGCCTAAGCATTAAAAAAGTAAATTTTTATTTCCTCACGATGTTCCTCTAGACAATTAATTTTACTATTTCTACACTGTTTTTTTGTATGGATGTTTCCAGAAATTAAATAAATAATTGAATAAGACAAAGAATGGAAAAGTTGGATTCTTGAGCTCAACAACATTGAAACCATTCCTAAAAAGCAATTTTAAGTGGTATCTCTTTGAAAAAAAAATTAATTTTTGTTTACTGAATGATTTTTTAAAAATAAATTTAAAATTACAGGATTTTGTGACATTTCAATACATATTTGTAAAATTGATAATCAATTAGTGATGGTAAATTTATGTTAAGAAATTCAAACTCATATAAAACAGCTCTTCAAACAGTCATAATAGGCATTTATATCATTTAACAATGAGTCATATATACCAACTCCATTCAAACCTTTATTGATAGGAAGTACCTTGTAGCACACACACAATGTTTACTAGACTGACTTCAGCCAAGCAGATTTGGTGAAGCCAACAGATTTGTTTCCTCTTTCCAGAGGCTGCACAAAGCTAAGTACAGACAGAAAGATACAATCCTCCTGCAACATTCACACCATTAAGTTACACTTAACATAAAGAATAAAAGACGGGGGAAAGGAATGCAAGAAAAAAAACCCCAAAACATAGAAGCAATAAAACCAAAAAGTATTATACAGTCTAATACATTAAAGTTGGCCTTTCCTCAGGTTTTCAGGTATTAACAGAAACCCAAAACAATTCTCCAGCTGATGTTTTCCTACAGCCATAGGGAAGAAATGGTTTTAGCATGACAGTTGAAGGGCTTACAGAACAAAGTGGGCATTTTAGATGGAAACTAAATTACTGAACAGAAGCAGAATGCATTTTTTTGTGCATTCCCACAGAAAAAGCCATTTGAGAAAGAGGAGAGAGCATCTGCACAGAGAAATTTATCAACTGAAAAAGCTGACATGACATGCAAGAAACAATAAGTGTTCATAAACTTCTTTTTTTAAGCTTTATGGCAAGTATTCTATACTATATAATTTAGTAGTGTGAATATTTGAGACTACCCTAACAGAGCTTCTTTACTGCCACGATGGAAAGTCTTTATGGGGGAAAATAAAATGTTAAAATATATAAGTCTTACCACAATCATTCTTCCATCAGAAGTAATTACTGCAACAGTACCTGATATTTCATTAAGGAAACATTTAGTCATATGTGAAATTAACATTAACATTTTCTGAAACGTTCATATGTAATACAGGTTTTATGAGCCTTTTAGAGTTTATCTAAAAAGTCTATCAGAACTTTTTTAAAAACAGCATGGTTGACAATAACATTTGACAATATAGTGTCTTTCATTAACATCTCCTTGAAAGCTTCTCTCCACCCAGCCACGGACAGTCATACACAAACAAGAAGAGCCTTATGAACAGAATATAAAGATTTGAGCTCACCTCTATTCTCATTACTAACTGAACTGCCTCAAAATTTAAACGAGTTTCATAAACACTTCAAGTCCTTAAAAAACAGCTCTGCAGTGGTGATCCCTTCTTTCTGAAGATCTGATTAACCCAATTCAATGATGATACATTCATCATCTTGACTAATTCTGGATTATTAGGTTACCGTTTGTGAACCAAACTGAAAATGTCCACGGGTTACAAAGAGCACAAAAAAACTAGCAACAAAAGCGTTCCAAGAACCCCAACTCACGAGTTTTGAGCAAGTGATGCAAAGCTGCTATTTAAACGCATGTTAACAGCCCTTTAAGGGAGCAGGCCCACCGCGAATCTCGGCTCATCACAGGCAAAGCTCAGCTCGGCAGCACTGGGTGCTGCAGGGGACCCTATTCTCAGGGTAACCTCCGGCCTGCCAGGCCAAACTCCTGTAAGGAGAAACCGACACCGACAACAGAGACGGGCAAAGCACCAGAACCGCGCTGCCGCGACCAGGCCCACCGTGAGGGCCGCGCTCAGTGGGGGAGGCCGGTGCCGCCGCGCCGTGCCGCGAGTGCCGGCGGAGGACGGACGGAGGATACGGTTGATGTAGTTCTCCAGCGCGGAGGTCATGGCGGCCGAGTCTCAGCGCGAGGCCGCCACGACCGGCGCGCGTCACTGACGTGCGGGCCGGCGCGCAGGCGCTGACGTGCAGGCCGGCGCGCAGGCGCACAGCGCGGGGGCGGGGCAGCGCTGGGAGAGCGGAGAGCGCGCATGCGCTGGGGGCGGGAGGCGGCGAGGAGGTGCGAGAGGAGCGATGGGCGGGAGCAGCGCGGGGGGCCCCCGGCGCCGCCCGCAGGGAAGGCTTCGGGGCCTTGCTGCCTGGTGTTGTAGCGTTCATCTTCTCAGAGGCCGCAGGCAAAGAGCTGCAGTCCAGGGGTCAGTGTCCACGTGGAGACCAAGGATGGTCTCTCCAGTAGTGGTGTCCCTCCGGCGTCCGGTACTGGGGCCAACACTGTTCATCTTTATAGACGACATGGACAGTGGATTGAGTTCACGCTCATCAAAATTGCTGATGACACGAAGCTGTGTGGTGCCATCCACAGGCTGGAGGGAAGGGATGCCATCCAGAGGGATATGGATAGGCTTGAGAGATGGTCCCATGTGAATCTTAGGAAGTTCAACAAGACCAGGTGCAAGGTCCTACACCTGGTTCAGAGCAATCCCAACCACAAATACAGGCTGAGTGGACAGGTGATTGAGAGCAGCCCCGCAGAGAAAGACTTAGGGGATGATGGTTGATGAAAAAACTCAGCATGGCAGCCAGCAGCGTGCACTTGCAGCCCAGAAAGCCAACCATACCCTGGACTGCATCTAGTGGAAGGTATCCCTGCCCATTGCAGGAGAGGTTAGGATTAGATGATCTTTTAAGATCCCTTCCAACCTGTAAATTCATATGAGTCTTGCTAGTATGGGAGCAATGTAATTCTCCCTTGGTTTCCTGCAGGCTGCTGGTATGAGGTGGGCAGGAAGGAGGCCTGACTGCTGCCCTTCCACACAGCCACCAAGTCCCACACAGCTGCTTGCTCATTTGCCAGTCAGTCAAATGGGGGAAGGAATTAGAGGGATAGAAGCTGGAAAACTCTTGGGTTAAGATACAGACAGTTTAATAGGGTAAGCAAAAGCTTTGCACACAAGCAAAGCAAACCAAGAAATTAAGTCCCTGCTTCCTATGGGCAAGCAGGTCTTCTGCCATCTCCAGGAAAGCAGAACCCCATCACATGTAATGGTGACTTACGATGTCAAATGCCATCACTCTGAACATCCCTCCCTTCTTCTTCCCCCTCTTCATGTACAGAGCATGATGTCATGTGGTATAGAATACACCTTTGGTCAGTTTGGGTCACCTGTCCGGCTGTGTCTACTCCCAACCTCCCAGTTTAGATCGTCCCTGTCAATACTAGTCCAACTTCCTTTTTATTTCAAAAAAAGAGACAAATAAGCAAGAGGTCCTAACTAGGATGTGGTGTCCAGCCCATGGTTTAATTCCTTCAGGGAATACAATTTCTGGAAAGGAGAATGCTATTGTTTATTCTTTTAGCTTGCCACTTGCTTTCTTGCACACTATAGCCATCTCAACCATAGGGAAAGCAAAATTAAAGTTTTAAAGGCAAATTAGTCAGAAAAAAAATCAAGCGTTCTTTGGCACCTTTGAAGGTACCTACACCAAAGTAGTCTCTGAAGAATTTGTCTAATGGCTCAGCCTTTATCAGAAACATGACAAGAGATGTCAGAGAGCAAAATACTTTTGGAATTGGGCATTACATAATTATCATCCTCTTATGCTTTTATTATAAGAAGCTTAACAACTGTCACTAATGGTTATACTCGGACTGCAATAATTATTCCATATTTCATGTAAGAGACTAAAGGGTTTTTTTGGGGGTGGGGAGGGGGGGGTGACATTTTCCTTTTCATACTCTTCTTTCTCTCTGTAAAGAGACATTCTCAAAGACTAAGAACATGAGATCATTGGGATACAAGGATGTAGGATGAAATCTTAAAATACTTGCAGGACATTGCCACAATACCTGATGCCAAGGGTCTCTGATCTATCTGTTTATATTAAGCGTGTCCTTAAAAACCAGAAAAGGGCTTTTAAAAAAATTATTTTTATTTTATAAAGGAGAATTAAAACCCAAAGAGTAAGGCCAGACTCTTGAAGTCCAGTGTCCAGGCTTGGACTGGGCAAAACTAGGTGCTTAAAAACACTTAGCACCTTCGGTATAAAGAAACTGTGAAAAGAGAATCCTTGGCTTCGTCTACTCTTAGGTTCCTCCTGAATGCAGGCAGCTCTGCCCCTCTTCTCACAGCCCTAACTGAGGTTCAGTCTTCTGTTTGAAGCCACCACTGCTCTCATTCTCTTCTTACTAAACACCCACACTCACAGAGGAAATGGAGGACTTTAATTTCAACCCGTATCTTTTTGGGGGAAAAATATATATATATTGCCGGCCTCTCCCCCTCAGGAGCAAGGTTTGGCAGGCTAAGTTACAAGCCGGGGGCAGAGTCTGTGTAATTTTGTGGAAGTTGTGCCCGGTGCGGAGAGGATCCCCGAGGGAAGGCCCGGAGCTGTGTTTGGGCCGCGTGGCCAGCAGGGGGCGGCCCGCGCTGCTCCCGCGAGCCCGTGTGTGAGGGGAGGGAGAGGGACGGGCAGGGGGCGGGGCGAGCGGCCCTGCGCCTCGGAGTCTGCCGTCTGCGGCCTCAGCATCCGCCCTCTGAGGCCTCAGCCGGGCACCTTGGCCGCCTTCGCACTGAAAGTCGGTTTTCTGCCAGAGGAGATGCGTTTCCCACTAAAGATGCCCGTGTTTCTCCACTGCTTACAAAGCGAGCCTGCTGTGACTAACAGACACGGACATTTCACAGGTTCACACTTGCATTAGACCAGACACATTTCTAGTGACGGTATAACATTGGCAAGATTTCGGATCAGAAAACTGTAGCTAGCAACCCTTTGCCTGTTCCTTCCTTTCAGTTGCTGCAGAGCTACCCTTGGGGACATGATAAGTAATAATAGTACCCATTAAGCTCTTAGTTGAGGAAACAAAAGACCCTTTTAAAAAAGCTTCCTTTTCTCTTACATTGTTTAGATAGAGCTTACATGCTAATTACATTTGCTCCTATAATTAAAATCAGTTTGTTTCTGCAATTGATTCTCCATACGTGAAGGTTGCTATGGCAAGTGATTGCTCTGTGTTATGCTTTCTGCAGAATATGTGACCAGCTAATCATGCCCTGTAGTGTCTGCACACTTTCCGGCTTCCTTGAAGTGTGCCAGGGCAGGAAGGAAACCTTGCAATGGTAGTTGTAAGGTGTGTGTGCAAGCAGTTGCGTGCAAAATTGTTATCTAGCCTAAGGCTGGTAGAATGGCTGAGTAAATGCTTTGTTGCTAGTCACTGTATATTGCTTATCAGTTTTATATCTCCTAAACTGTGCTAGCTCTGGTGGCTGTGCTTTCCTTAGTTACTGAGAAGGAGCCAGGTTTTATAGCGCCAGCATGCTGAAGAGTGAAATAGCTTTGTGATGCTCTCATGAGCACCGCTGCTGCTGAGCCATGGTGTGTCAAGCCGTGTCCCTGTGAGATCAGATTGAGAAAGGTGCAAGACTTATTCCTCTAGCTTCATTGGAAGCTGGAAATCTAGTATAATCACCTGATGACTGTTGGAACAGGAGCTTTAAAGAATTTAATATAACAAAATATAACAAAAAGACTCCCCAAATTAGTAACATCTGTCAGCCCACTCAACAAGAATTGCATCCCTTGGTTGCTTCTCAAGGCAAAAATAACACCTGAGGTAGGGAATAATGGAGTGGTACATACTGAAGAAGAATCAGGCAGTATGTACTCCACAAGAAAACAAAGCATCCCCAAATCCCACACATTTAATTTACTTAATCTGATAGCCTTTCTAATCCTTTCTGGGACTCAAAGTTTTAAATCTCTTAGATTTTCACCTACATGCCCAGAATACCCCTTCATAGAGGAGCTCTTCATAGAAGGAGCTTAGCCCTTTAGCTTGTCTTTAGTTTATACACACTCAAGCTGGCAAAACATGATTGACGATGTGTTCAGGAAAAGCAGAAACATCCCTTCACCTCTGCTTTATTCCTCTGAATCTGTAGAGACTTTAGGGGCCGTTATCAGCGATTAAAGGACATAGATTTTTTTTCTGGTAGCTGGAGAAAAGTAGCAAGATCTCACTCATCTCATGAATGACTAGCTACAGTGGAAGCTGAGATGTATTTCATGTATATTATTGTATCAAATGACAGGGGTTTGCAATGAAACGACTGGAAAATATCATAGAAAGTTACCAGTCTGGAAAGGGTTAGTAGACTGTGAATGTGTTACAACGCATAGAAACAAATCTGTAGCACGAGGTCTCAAAGTACTTTTTATTTATCTTTATAAATTCATTAACAAACACCTGATCTAAATTTTGTTATGATAGGAACTGCTGCTATGGGAAACATTTAAAAAAATATACTCGAAGTGCTTCTTTATATGAGAAAATGCATATTTTCCCCAGCAATTTTTGCTAAAATATGCAAAATACCATAGCAATCTTAATGAGAATATCCCTACTTAATGTGTTAGCATAAAAAATAACTTTGCATGTTTCTGTTGGCAGAAAAGCAAACACTTTTCCATTTTCCTCATTTTTTTTTACTGAAGAAACTGATAACAGCTGTAGAAGTTCAGTACCATTATCCTCTTAACTATTAATTTTAGGGGATGTTAAGACCTACTGGTAGGAAAAATGCCATCAGTAATGGGTCATATACAAAACAACAGAACAAATGGATGCTTGTTTTCAGTTGCTCTAAGCAGAGCATAAAAACAATTCTGTTGAACATAGAATAAATAATAGTCTTCAAGTAACTGACATTTACTAGTGTGTCATAGAATCATTTTTACAGTCTTAACTGAAATTGTGTTTTCTAAATTGCTTTCATGAAGCAGGCTTTTCCCTCTGATAGATTCCCTGCTTCTCAAGGTATAATTCATCTTCCTGTAAAAGCACTGATCCTAATCTTTAGTCTGTGCTAAGATGACTAGATCTTCCAGTTTTAATTATAAACTCCTTTATCTTAATACTCTGCAGAG